AATTGTAAAGGACTAATTAATATTTAATTAATGAAAAAAAAAAAAGATCAAGTCAAAAGAAGGGAATATTTTCAACAAAAGTGATGGAAAGTTTGACGTCAGGTCATTTTTATGTTTACGGAGGTTAAATATACTTAATATAATATATTATTATAACAGTATTTATAAGTTTCACCAAACATCAATAGATTGTGTTAAAAAAATAATATTCGTTTTGTAAGTCATAAGGTATTGCTATTGAGATTATATTTACACTAATTAAATGTGCCTGAACAGAATGATACTCATCAAGTATCACTGAAAATAGTTGCAGGTTGTAAGTTATTAAAACACTATACTCCAGAGGTCATCAATTAATATTAATATTTTCTAAAAGCAAATTAAGAATCCAAAAAATTCTCGATAGCTATCAAAATTCAAAGTATTTATTTAACATATTTTAATGGGGTATATTTTAGTAACATACACCAGCTGAAGTCCCATTTTACAGGTATATTTGTTTTCATTGGTAAGACCTTGCAATTTACATATTAAAAAATTAACTACAACATTAATTACCACAGTTATACATATGATAACGAATTTAATATTTAAATTATAAGTTTTATCCCTTCTTGTCTGCGAGCCAAATAAAATTAATTTGTTAGCTGTCATTTGGTGATCTCTAATAAATTATATGTATATAATAACAACAAATTGACGTAATTATTTTCTCGTGTTTTCAAAGAACTATGCGAAGCGTAAATATGCACTGGTTGACGATAAACTAGGTTTCCAAGTGAATTAGAAACTACGGTTTAATATGTTTAGCTACATCAAAGGTCTCGTAGTGATAAGAATTTACGACGAGAATCGCTTATATATATATATATATATATATATGTAATATACACATCGTAGTAGATGTGTTGGTGAATAAACAGAAGGCGTGATATGTCTTTAGTGCGTAAAGTTTTCGAACGGGTCCTCTTTTGGTGGCGTGTGGTGGTGTATTAATTATAATTTTCGTTCGCGAAACGCTCGTCTTATTATATGCCGACTGCTCACAGTGGCGATGGAAGCGATGGCAAATGCATCGAAGCAATTAGTTACAGGGAGATAAGTTACGCGCTGTCTCTCGAAATCTCTACTCCTCCCCAATCGTATTATTATTAGGCGTCGCCTAAATGAGCATCGTCTTAGTTTGTCGATGTAATACTACAGTGTATAGAAGTAGCCAACGCGTACTTTCAATACTCGTAAATTGTTCAGCTTTTGACATTGATGTAATTTCAATTTGTGATTTGCATCTAGATATATGTTATATACATGTATAAATACATGTTACTGTGTGCTAACAAAATTATTATTAGCTAGAAGTGAAACGGTTCATTACAGACATTTGTATTCAAAAGTTTATCAATGCCAGAGCCTTATATAATATCCATACATGGATTATTCTGGATTAGAAATATTGTAGCAGAATCGCTTTTTTTTTCCTCCTGTGAAATGTTGTAACGGTCCACTGTGGTTCTTATGCTTTTCGATGAAAACCAACCTAAAAGCACATTTATGATAATTCATTTATTGACAACCCGGGGGACACCCGTATTACTAAACCACCTCTGAGTCAACAAAATAACACGGGCGCTATGGACTGATCTGAGTCTTCTATTGCTACACATGTTATTATATTTTCTTAGTTCGTGTTCTATAATCCCTTGACAGCTGTCTTAATTAATCGTCGGTCATGGTTAATACATTACAGTTCACCGAACCAAATATTATAAGTATATACATATCTATAACTATATTATATTTGTACAGTTTTTTTTTTTTTTTTTAATGTATTTATAATGTTACACATTGTGTGATTTTCACAATTCAACTTTGAGACGTATAATTTTACAGAGTGGATCGACAGGTTTTTGATTTAAATTACTATATGTGTGTAATCAAGTAGATTGTCTGTGTGCGGGAGTGTCTCTACTCGTGGTATATGTCGGTGATTACTTTTATTAGAAATAGAGTATGGCAGCGCTGACGATGGCAGTTGTAGTGAAAGGTGGCAAATGTGGAAAAGTAAAATCATATTTTATTGCTATCTAACTTGAGCAATAATAGCCACGATGACCTCCGCGGTGTTAACAAAAATAAAAAAAAATATGTGATTGAGAGTAGAGTAGAGTAGAGTAGAGTAGAGTAGAGTCAGGAACAATAGGACCGTTAATAATCATCAAATTAGACATGTCCCTGTGGACTCAAAGGGTTAACAACGGCAGGTTATTTTGAAATGTAGTTTTGCTGCGGTTGCTCTTGTATAATATAGTGAGTCTTATCAAAACGATGGAATTGGTAGTTGGGATGAAGGAATTGGATAAATAGCTTATATGCTAGCTCTTTTTATATGATCATTAGTTACAAATTATATATCGTATTATAATAAATACATTTTTAAATTTCTGTTTGAATTATATAGGTCTACAGTTATATATAATATTGATTAACTAAGCGACACTATAAAATCATTATTTTCTTAGGATTTTATTGATTTTATTACGTATTGTTTCTTGTTTTAATCAATGTAAATAATAGTAGGAAAGCCTTTCACCCCTAAGAATACATTGAGTGTTGTTATTTACGGACACATCATTCAACAGATCATTAAATAATTTTGTTTAGTTATACTTAAATGGTGTAAACACGGTTGTGATTTTCTCGTATCAACGATAATAATAATTAGGCCGAACGAATGGGGAAACCATGGGGTTTTGTCTCTATCCGGATGCTGATTTTCAATGAAGAGGTGAAAACCATCCAAGAAAACAAAAACTAAGAAAGAAAAAAAAATCATTTGCTTGAGTCGAACACGCGCGTGACTTTTAACGGACAATCCGTGTCGTTGTCGTCATTGTTATAATTTTTTTTTTTGAACTATAGATATTTTGTGTATATAATAACAGACAGGTATAGATAGACAATGTATGCCATAACACAATAAGTGAATATGCTAAAAGACACCTATCCAACATAATTTTCACGTGATTGGCGGAGTACAATTTTCTAAAATTTCCTAATCTATATTTCATATTTACTTATAAAAAAGTTAACACAATCAAAGAAAAAATAAATATTATTATACTGAAAAATAATATGATTTTTGACAATATGCTTATAATCACGTGTACATAAATATCAGTGCAATTGTATGATATTATGTTATGAAATTAAGTATTAAAATAAAAATATTAAAAAATATATAACATTATAATATCCATTTTAAGTTGATGGTAAATAGTTTTAATAACTCATGAGAATATAAAATATTAATTAATAATTATGAAAATGTGAAACTTATTGTGGCACGAAAAAATCATAGTATTTGGTAGCGAGAAAAAAAAATATAGCGTAAATGGTTGCAATTATTTATTCTGCAAATTTCCTTCTCCTTTAAAGAGTCTATTAATTTCATAAATTCAAGTACATGTTATTAACGTTGTATCGAACAACAAAATGATGCTAAGGGTACTCGAACGTGTCTCAACGTTATCGTCGTTGAACACAGATAACAGTGCGACCCAGCACCAGTAGCGATATCCATATTAATATAATATCAATGTTGTGTTACACTTCAGATGCTGAAAAGCGATCGTACATAAAAACATAAAAAACACAACCGAACGTTGTAAATATATAAATAAACAGTAAGTTCCCGTTACAATGAACTCCAAGGGACCGCATTTTTTTTTCGTTATAACGGAAATTTGAATAAAAAAAAAAAATTCAAAACCTTATCTAATTCACATACGTACAAATAAATAATAATTAAATATTTCAAATGTCAATAATTTACGAGAAAAAAATTTACTTTATTATAGATCAGAGTATCCCAAACTTTCTCTGCCGGACCCCTTACGAGATAATAAAATTGATCGTTTAATACAGATGCAAATTAAAAACAATAATAAATAATAACACTTTGTGTATTTTTAATTTACATTTGTGGACCCTCTACAGTATAAGTGCGGACCCTTAGGGATCCGCGAACCACAGTTTGGGAAACGCTGTTTTAGATAATCGGTAATATTATTTTGAACAAGGTTTGCTGTTTTAATAGAAAGTAAATAATTTCGTAGTTTGTGAATATTTGTAAAAATGAAGTCTGGTACATAATTTCATAAAATTGTGCGTTTTTTATCTTTAGGTTAAATTAAGAAGGGAAAATATATTTTAACCTCTACAAACATTTCGTTGTATCGGGATTTTTAAAAGTCAATCATTTCATTGTATTGAGATTCATTTAACATTGTTTTAATAGCTTTTCGGTAGAGAACTTCTATGACTTTCGTTATAACGGGATTTTTTATTGTATTGGTATTCATTGTAACGGGAACTTACTGTATTGCAAAAAAAAGTTTCGTCGACTTTTGTGAGATGATGGAATCCGGGATTTATCCTTCTACTAATTTTTAACAGACATTTCGTAAATCCTACTTCACGCAAAAAACCGCGGTCGTAATGTTGAGCATCACGCACGTGCGGAGCGCAAACATCGAGCGTCACGTGCATGTGACATCGTTGTGACCGACCGGGAGACGAGAACGGAATAATAACAATACGTTAACGGACCAGCAGCAAATGCACACTGAATTATGCGGGTTCGAAGTCCGCCGAGTCATGTAGAATAATTGTCCCTGATCCGACCGAGTCACCGGGTTACGGTCAGGTGAACCGCATACGGTATATACGGGATTTACCGCATGTTACCGCGAAGTGACCACGGTACCACGCCGAGTCGGTTCCGTCAAACTTTTACACGGTAAGCGGTAAACGGTTACTAGTCGTCGCATAACGAAAATATGTGCATAACATTATTACGCGACCGAGATTCGACAGGCGTATTGCAGTGGATTTAAAACGCGTTCTCATTGTGCACATCGTATTGTTGTCGGGGCGGCGTTCTATTATGAGGCGGCGGTGGCGAGAGATAAATTATTATTGTAACGATTGTTGCGACTTACCGGTCAGTTGGAGTAGAACGACAGCGGTGACGACCGAAATACCGCGATGGCCGGAGCAACGCATCGTGGAGTACGTGTGTGTGTGAGTGTGTGTGTGTGGTTGAGCACGCGCGTGTCGACGGGCGAACGTGTGCGACACGAGTGATGGTCGGAACGCGCGCGGTCCTCGGACAGCCGTGGATTGAAAGACGCCGCGGATCGACTGCGATTGGACCGCAGCGCGTGTTCTTCCGCCGCCGTCTTCGAGCCGGATTCCTTGCGTCCCCACCGCCGGAGACTGCACGAAGACGGCCAAAGAGTTTTTCCACCGCGGCCGTTTCGTAACTGCACATGGTTCGGCGTGGGCGACGACGTCAGCGGACGCGGGTTTTCGATAAAAACTATTTTCGCGGACCGCCGGTGGGGGGAAGGGGAGAACTTGGGATTTGTTTTCCGATGACGCCAATTCCGAACAATAAAATGTCCGGTTCGACGAGTGATTGCCAACTAATGTACTCGTAATGCACAATTAATGAATTACTAGACGAATGATTGTTTTCGTTCAAAGCTTTTTTCGAATATTTTTATTATTAACCTAATTTTTTGACGTCCGTAATAGTTCGTAATTATAGGTCATTTTCACTAATTTATCGTCTGGTTTTTACTCGCGATACCGAACGTTTATTGCAGTGGGATTTAGTTATTTTTAACTGAAATTCGATTTTTTAATTTTTCAGGTTAGAAATTATTAATTACCCGGGTAGTAACTGTTTTTTTTACCTCTGATTTTAAATTTAATGAAAAGCAATTTATGCATGCTTTGCTTGTCCCATGTATTTTTAACCTTTCTGTAAAATATTTAGGTATATATATATATACATTTATAATTTAAAAATTTTAAATTCTCACAGACTTTGTTGTAACGTTACGTTGGAACAATTTTTACGGGTGAACATTTCGTAATAAGCGGGTTAGGTTACAATAACGATAATAATACGTAGTAAGATCGCGCGGGTCGACATTTCGTCGCAGAAACCAATCGTTTAGTAATACGTTTACCGACCAGGATGCGATTTTACGATTTCAGACGGAAACATGGCGTTATTGCATACACGTAAAACATAAATATATTTATTCAGTGGCGTAATTTTGGGGAGGCGATATGGGGATATATCCCCTCCAGACGCTTTTTTTTAAGAATAATTATAATTATTTAGAATAATTTTTAATTTTTAGAATAATTATAATTTCCGTAAGCACAAGCTTTAAAAGATTTTAAGATAAGAAATAAGAATACATGGATAGTTGAGATTTTTTTTTAATTTACTAATATAAAAATACGATAGTTCAACAATTATAATTTATGACAAGAAAATTGTATAGCTCAGAGTTAAAATATAACACTGATAAATCTACAATTTACCACTCTTGTTTAGTGCTTAAAGAATGCAATATTTCACAAAAACGTGAAACATTGAAATTTTTCCTAAAACAAATATTAATGTTAGTTATTTATCAATTATTTATTATATAATCTAAAAGTTCTTATTATAATCATTAATATTAATGAAATGAGTACAGTGGTTGACATATTACTATAATAACTATATTATGCTATATATATGGGTCTTGTTTTCGACTATTATAGCATTATTTTTATTTTTATTTTGTACAGAACGGGCTGGAGCCCAGTTTGATTAAACATACAAATATGATAGTAGTATATAATAATAGAACATGTTTAATAATACATAGTAGGCAAGTTTGCGTTATAGCAAAACTTGGTTTATTTTTCTAGAAAATTGCTTTCAACGACGTCGACAAACAATGTATCATTATATTATTCTATTTAGTGGTATAAGGTATTAACCACTGATGCCATGTTGGCCTTTTTAAGTCCAAATCTGACCTTTTTAAGGCTAAATCTGGCCTTTTTCATTTCAATCTGACTGAAAAAATACACAATCTTGCTCCTAGTTTTTTTTCTAGCCATTAATTGTTTTTAACTAGCTTGATTCTGATTTAAGTAATATATAATATATTTTAATTAATTGTTTGTGTATATAAGTATAATATTACACAACGACATTGATATCATGAGTTTTTCCCTTCGTTTTCGTTATCACTACATATGATAAACCATATTTATGGTTGTTATCAAAACAAATTATATTTATCTGTGGTGGTTGTTAACTACGAATCGGATTTATACTCATATCTAGTTAATAGTTATCACTTTACACCTCGGACTAGTATATCTTAGTTCGTTTCACGATTGTAGATTCGTGATTCAAAAGACTTTAATTCACTATTTTAACATTTTTTTAAGTATTACCTATTAATTTTGTTTTTTTATTTTTAATACTTATTATTTTATTTCCTTGTTTGTTGTTTTAATATTGGACTACTCAGAACATTAAAATTTAATAAGCTATGAATTATGATTATTTAATATCTTTATTTATTATATTTAATGTTCTAATAATATTATTTACTTGTAAAATATGATAAAAAGATTAATGGCTTTACTAAAGAAAAAAATGGAAATTGCCAACAATTTTAATAGTATTAATATTTTTATTTTTGCGTTAATATTTTTGTTATTAATCGTTTTTTTTTTTCAGCTGATTTCCGGCCTTTTGTGATAGTACTCATAGCTTTTTAAACAAATTATAACTGGCAACACTGGTATTAATTATTTTGAAATATTATAAAACTGTAAACGATCAGCAATAGTACAACACCAATGTCTATTATTATTTCTGTAACTATGGATGTGTGTCTATTGTGCGATAATGTAAATTTAATATATTACTAAATTACATATTCAATTATTAAATTAAAAATGAAAAGGCAGTCAAATGCTTTTATTTCTTTTTTTCAAAAAAATTTAAATAAACTGATCAAGAAAACAGCTTGTCAAAATGTAATTCAGATCAAGACCAACCTAGCAAAAAACTTGTAATGAAATTGAACTATTTTTTGAAATAATCTAAATCTTCATAAATTTATGTATTTTTTATTTCTATGTTATTATTATGGCATACCCATATCCATAAATTTAAAAATCAATAACACAAGGATATTTTCTTAGGAAAAACAAAGAATTAGATTAATGATTTCTGTAGAACAACCTGTAAGTACAAAGTTCGAAAAAGTTTATAATAATAAATTAATATAATATTGAGATATATGAGATTTAATGTTTAAAGGGGGTGTGGGGGGCATAGCCCTATTAGAATGATAGTATAAATTTATATCCCAATCCCACCCCAAAACCAATTCCAAATTACGCCACTGTATTTATTATATAATGTGCACGCGTGTCGCGATATAAATGAGCAACGGATCATTCGGAATTTAAATTTTCAAAGAATTTAAAATTGTGTTAAATGTATTTGACAGATATTGCAATGATTGAAGTACAACATTATGAAAAATGTTTTCTGTAAATAAAGTATATATCTAACCATAGGCGCCATGTAGACAGATTTTTGGGTGCTTAGGAACACGTTGAATTTTTTTGTTTTTAGTACTGAACACCCCATAACATTTGATCAAATATTGTAAATAATTATTATGTTTTTTCTTCCATTAAAATATTAATATTATTATCAAAAACATTAACTTATTTTAATACAACAATTATGCCATCGTGATATTAATAATATTGTATAATTAAAGAATTTTAATAGAGTTTATGCAAAATTGTTTTAAAGAAAAATCAGAAAATGGTATTAAAGCAAGTGGTTTTGTTAAATAACTATTAAAGTTTAATTTTTTCATTTTATAGAATAATAATGATCATTATTTTCAAAAGAGTTGACATTTTTAATTTAGAATTTTAGAAAGTATATTAATCTCAGAGAAGTACATTTTAAAATGAAAAATGTAATTACATCGATTAAGTTGCAAATATATGAAAACTACGAGTACATAGAAAAATATTCTAGTTAAATCTAATGAGCTACAAATTTATGTACTAGATTTGAGAATAAAAATGATTCCAAAGAAATTTATTCAAGGCAATAATCAACTATTATTTCCATTAAAGATAAATTTAAAGTTATATTTTTTTGAGTTATTGAACTTAATATAATTGAATATCTGATTTCAGATACATGTAATAATAATTTATGATCTCTTGAAAAAATTATTATTGGTGAAGATAAAAAAATATCAAACCCTATTAAATTGTGTGGAAAAGATTTGGTTTATGAAAAATTAAAACAGCATAGATATTTTAATTGATATTGCTAAATCAAGACAAATTCAAATGAATAATATTCAATATGAAATAGATTTTTTAAAATTGGATAATATTATTCAGAAATTAATAAACTTGTCGAAATTATATTGACTAGATTAGGTTTTGCACTGCAGAATGATCATTTTCAAGTACTATAGCATTTAAAAATATTTTTGAGGTCAGAAATGTCAAAATCGTTTAAAATATATAGCTATATTGCATATTCATAGAAATGAGAACATAGATATTCAAAATATAACAAATTTATTTAATAGTAAGACCAAGATTCGTCAAAATACATTATCCTTATAAATTGATGTGCTATTATTATGTATCATAATGTATTTTTTCATTATTAGTATATGTTGTTAGTTTTTTACATAATAAGTTCATATTTCAAATGTTCTCATATATATTATTAAAATCAGTTTATTAAATACGAAAGTTATCACATTAGTTTTTATACAATTTATAAAAATTGTCAATTTAAATGACCTATCTACATCCAACAAATATTCTGATGACTTGAAGGTTGACGAGCCCAGATATAGAACTATATTTATTATATAGCGAGGGGATAAAGTTAGGTATACTCAATTACCCTGTGATTTTTTTAAATTTTGGTGTCTATATACCTAATTAATATTTAAGCCCATAAACTGTTAATAGTAGCGCAACTATAGTGGAAGGGTTAATCTATCTATTAAAATATATAGTGAACTTAACTATTGTCCCTACCAAACAACTTCTAGAGTACAATTTTTCTAAATGTCTATTGTATATGAAATGTGGTTACCTTAAACTCGTATAATATGCATGGATGAAATTTTTAATAAAAATAATATTAGGACTAAGAACGATTCTGAAACAATCCAAAAAGCCATCCAAATGATTCTGAAAGAGAACAAAAATTATCTTCATATTATTACAAACCAGATAGCTATTTATTTCTTATAACAAACTCCTAATTTAAATCATTAATTATTTTCTCAT